TGATGATGATGTTGCTGATGATGTTGTTGATAGATGATGTAGATGATGTTGCTGATGTAGATGATGTAGATGATGATGATGTTGATGTTGCTGATGATGATGTAGATGATATTGCTGATGTTGCCGATAGATGATGATGATGTTGATGATGGATGATGTAGAGGTTGTTGCTGATGTAGATGATGTTGCTGATGATGATGTTGCTGATGATGATGTTGCTGATGATGATGTCGATGATGATGAAGATGATGATGTTGATGATGATGTAGATGATGTTGCTGATGATGATGTAGATGATGATGATGTAGATGATGTTGCTGATGTAGATGATGGATGATGTTGCTGATGATGATGTTGCTGATGATGATGTTGCTGATGTTGCTGATGTAGATGATGTTGATGATGGATGATCGTAATCGGTCTCTCTCCTACACCGGGACCCGTGAAGCGGCACGAGAGGAGCCGGGATCACGTGACTCGCGCCCGCGTCTCCAATGACCAATGGGGGAGTGGGGGGTGGGGGGAGTGGGAGGATGGGGGAGTGGGGGGGTGGGGGATAGGGGAGTGGGGGGATGGGGGAGTGGGGGGGATTCTGAGGGGAGGGGGGACTGGAGGGGAGGGGGAGCAGGATGTGAGGGGTATGAGAGGGAGGGGAGGAGGGAGGGGGTGGTGGGGTGGTGGGGGCGGAAGAGATTGGAGGGAAGGATCGGAGTGGAGGAGACGAGGGAGAGGAGGGGAGGGGAGAGGGCGATAAGAGGAGAGGTGGGGGCCAGAGGGGAGGGGGGTTGGAGGTTAGGGGAGCAGGAGGGGAAGCGGAGAGGGGGGGGGGTGAAGGGGGGGGGTGGAGGGGGGGGTGAAGGGGGGGGGTGGAGGGGGGGGGGGTGAAGGGGGGGGGGGTGAAGGGGGGGGTGAAGGGGGGGGGAGGAGGAGGAGGCGTGGACAACTTGCGAGCGCCACGGAGCGCAGAGAGGGGGCGACATGCCCCCCCCCCCGAGGGTTGACAGCTCGAGAAGGACAGGAATGAGTCTCGCATAAACGACTCCACCCTCGCTCCCATCTCCATGTCTGATACATCCCCCCCCCCTCTCTCCCTCTTTATACCCCTCCCCCCTCTCTCTCCCGTCTCGCTGTCTGTTGCATTCTACCCCCCCCCCCCACCACTCGACTCCCCGCCCTCTCGTCCATGCGCTCTGCCCCCCCGTCTCTCTCTCACCCTCTCTCTCCTCTGCCCCCCGTATCTCTCTCACCCTCTCTCTCCTCTCTCTTCTCTGCCCCCCGTATCTCTCTCACCCTCTCTCTCCTCTCTCTCCTCTGCCCCCCCCCCCCCGTATCTCTCGGTCTCCGTCTCCCTGCAGACTCCCACACAGAGCCCCCCCCCCTCCCCCGCTCGCTACTCGCGCGGAGCCGTGGTCTCAACCGCCATCATCATAACCATCATCATCACCATCATCATCATCACTATCATCATCACCGACACCGTAATCATTACCATCATCATCACCACCACCAACAGCATCATCACCAACATCACCACCATCACCACCAACATCACCAACATCATCATCACCAACACCACCATCATCATCATCACCAAAACCACCAACACCATCATCATCACCAACATCATCACCATCACCAACATCATCACCACCAACAGCAGCATCATCATCAACATCATTATCACCACCAACATCATCATCACCAACACCAACACCATCATCATCACCAACATCATCACCAACACCATCATCACCAACACCATCATCACCAACATCATCATCCCCACCAACTGCAGCATCATCACCAACATCATCACCAACACCATCATCATCACCACCACCAACATCACCACCAACATCATCATCACCAGCATCACCATCATCACCACCGTCACCAACACCATCATCACCCTCGCCAACACCATAATCCTCAGCAACACCGTCATCACCTCCATCACCATCAGCACCATCACCAACATCAATACCATCATCATAGCATCACTACTCCATGCGCAGGTGTGGTACACGTTCCGTGCTACATGGAACGCTTTACCCACCGTGGTACACGCCATGTACACGTACCGTGGCACACGCACCATGGTACCCGGTATCGTTTCCATGCCGTGGAGCACCTAGTACGTGCCATGTTCCTATACTCACAATTGCACACGTACCATGGCACACCCACCGTGGCACGCGCACCGTAGCACACGTACCGTGGTTACGCACAACCGTGCTGCACGTACCGTGGTACGCGTTACGGCTATACCCACCGTGCAGCACGTACCGTGGCACACGCACCGCTACACCCACCGTGGTAGGCGAACCGTTGCACACGTACCGTGTGGTTACGCGCACCGTGGCAGAGTGGCTGCTGCATTATACAAGGAGTTACGTAACAGCCCTCGCTCGCTCGCCCTGCCCGCGTCTCCGCGTGAAACTTGTTCGGCTACAATCGACCCGAGTCCCGCTCCCAGGACCCGGTCCCAGGGTCCCCAGCTCCAGGTCACCCAGGTCAGAGTCCCCCAGGCCGGGGTCCCGGTCCCCTTTTAGCGAGCCCCGTTCTCGGGAGCCGCACGGGGCGACGCGAACTCACCCGGTGGCGAAGCCGAGGCGTCCAGCCTCCCTCTCTCATGCGCTCTCCCTCCTCTCTCTCTCTCCTCGTCCCCCTCCTCTTTCCCACTCTCTCTCTCCCTCCCTCCCTCTCTCGCCGCCTCCCTCCATCTCCCTCGTCTCCTCCCTCTACCCCCCTCTCCCTCCATCCGTCCACCCCCTTCCCACGTCTCTCCGTACCCCGTTACTCCCTCCTCCTCTTCTTCGCCTCCCTCTCTCCGCCTCCACCCGCTTCTCTCCTCTGCGGATCTGCGTGACTCGAGCTCCCTCTGCCCCGCGTTGTTTGCAGTGACGGGGAAAAAAATATCGCGCGTGGCGCCGTTCCGACTTGGCAGTGGTGGGTCTGGAGCGGATGAAACGAAGTCGCGGGTCAAGATGCGGGCGCGCGGACCCCCCTCAGCGCACGCTCTGGACAGCGCAGGACACACACAGAGCAGTCTCGCACGAGGAGCGTCTGAACACTCTCAGATACATCCCACCGCACCGTCTCGAAGGAAGGTCGCACTCACGATTCGCGTTGTTAGCAATCGTCGTTGCCATCGCGGAGAACCGCGGTTGTTGTGAATCAATAGCACGGATATCCAGCACGAACAAAACTCAGTTCGTCAACCGGTATACAAGGCCGACTAGACTCTAACCCGAACCAGGCACACTCTGGGCCAATCGATGCCGGGTTCCGTCCATCGTTGCTCCGTGTAGCGGGGTGGCCGCAACACCCCGAGACTCGTAACGCCCTTGTCGGAGTGGATGCAACAGACACGACTGTGCATGAAGGTCGAAGGCCAGACGATTGGCCCGGCGAGGCTGTAAATAGCGCAGATGATTTGGCGACGCTGCTGCTGCGTCGGCAGCGGTGCACAAGCACAATCAACGGACAAAACCTCAACACGCGATTCGTAAATAACACCGCGTGACTTTAACACTGAAAATAGGTGTCGTCTCAGACAATGCTCCATCTTCAAATGAAGTCGATAAAGCACATGCATTAAAAAACGACTTCATACGTGACGAAGGTCCATGGTCCGAAACGTCTGCTCATGTGTACGATTTCACCGTAAACGGCTATCGTGACGCACGATCCTCACGAACCAGCGTCTCATTCATCCACTCATGGAAGGCCCCACGCGCTGAGACAGTGGCGAGAGGCGATGGGAAGCCAGGGGACGCGAGACGGGCCCTGTGGTTAAATTTCGATTTAAAGCTTTCGTGACTGCAGGGATTCATCTTCTTGGTTCTTTCGGTAAAGTCACGTAGAAGGGAAGTAATAAAATAATAAAAATAAAACATAATATTTAGATGGTGTTAAGATGTCGATTACGACCAGTGCTGAATTTCAGCTGGAATAGTCAAAATAGCTTTGGTTGCGGGAATTATTTTTGGCGCGTACATCCATCTCGCCTTCTTATCCTCACGGTTTTTTTTCTTCTTAACACACCTGTCCATAGGATGGTAGGAAAGCAGGGCGCGATAATATAGTTGTCATAGATAGGCGCACCTTGTACTCTAGTGGCAGTGCCGTACGTCCATAATCCACGCCAGCCAGTCTTCCGGAAAATGTCGAGTGAGAAATGAAGCCCTGGTCACGGCCATCGATCACAGGGGCAGATCCACTCGTCAAAACGGGGCACTGGCCGCTGTCGGCATAATCACTCGGGAAAACCTCACTGAATCAACTCTTCTATTCAGGAGGATCCTGCATTGGGATGTTTGGCCAATTCCATTCGTGACTTTTGCTCTACAAGTGCACGTGAGCGTCAGGGTCTATAGCCAGCCGGTTATTGCCACAACCGATACGTGGCATCACGTCTAGATGGGCTCTCTCTCGAGGAAATACGCGACGTAAGGACGCCACACTGAGGCGCTCTCCGTGGTGCTGATTCCATATTGAGAGGCGCTGTCCGTGGTGCTGATCCCACTGACAAAATCACTCTTTGGTGCTGATCTCACGCAAGTGCGATCCTGCAGAAGCGTTGACGTCCGATGTGGTAAGAAAGTCTGCATCAGCAGCAGACCATGCTTTCCCACCTGATGACGGACGCTTGTGTTGCGCCCGAAACGTCGCGATCTATTTTATTTTATATCTACGTGACTTTACCGAAAGTACCAAAGAGTAAAGATTACGCATTTTTGTTTAATCTTCCGAGAAATCTCTCCCGGACGAGCCACCACCTCGGCGCATGACGGCCCGCTTTTGCTAAACGCCTCGTGCATAACCGTGATCCCCATTGATTGCAGGCATTCCCACAGAAACGAAGATGCACATCAAAGCACAACTCTCACGAAAAACTTAACGCGTCTGGGTGATGAAGCCACGCAGGATCGCGGGGACACGCGTGGAAGCGCCCCCGCCAACCGAGAGAAGAAATCAGGAGGCATCGTGACATCGCAAAATGTCGGCAGTTTTAATCGACGCATTCACTCCAAAGCGCAAGGCAGGTGGAAACCGACACACGTGGAGGCGAAACTTACAGCAGAGCGTGAGCAAGGCCTGTCGATGCGCGTTACAACTCGGCAGGTGAAAGCTGAGGACAGCCCGCTCCTCCCTGCCTAAGCCACGAAGACACGGACGACTCGAGTCGTGCGCAGACTCCTACGCGACTCTTCTTTCATACACGTCAACCTCCAGGGGCTGGGAGGACGAGGAAGCGTTATTTTTACACTCGTCAATGAATTTCACAATTAAACGTCGGAGCCGGCGAAACGCGACGGCGGTGATGTGTGCTCACCACACATCCACTCCTCGTGCGGTGGTCTCCCCGCATATCCTAAACACTCCACCCCCTTCCTGCCCCATGCCCCAGACGCCCGCAACTCCTTACCTTCAGCCAGAACTATTCTATAGCACACCGCCTCCTCATCACACTGCCTTCCACCAACTCCTGTACCGTCTCTCAAATACAGTCTTCACACCTACAACTTTCACAGCGCCTCGCTTCAATATCTCCCCGCATCTCCTTGCATACCCTCCATCCCCCCATATCACGCAGCTCCTATGTCCACTCCCATGTCCCACTTCATCTCCTATTCAGTGCACTCAATCTTCAGCAGCGAATTTCTCCCTCTAACGTGCTAACGTCTGCAGGCAGGTCGGCTGCAGCAAAGGTGCGTATGAGAGTGCGCGCTGCTTGCGGAGCCTGCAATACCATGGGAGATGAGTTGAACTCCCATGCCAGGTCTCACGGCGAAGCCCCCAGTGGTTCGACAAAGTTGCGCATTTACAGGTTGCAATATATTACACGTCTAGACGTATCTTTGACGCAATATAAAACCAAATCATATAATATATAGTTAAGGGATCGGCTTTACAAACCGACTACGCTTGCTTACTGCACATTCCACCACGCGTCTCGGCAACAGCAGCGGTGATGACGCAGCGAGACACCACGGCCGCCTTCAAGACGTGGCTCACGACCGTGAGCCGATGCCGCTTGCTGCTCCTGTCGGGACTCGCCACGCAGCGGAGACCACGCACAGTCTCGACTCACGACCACAGTGAAGGCGTTGCGGTGGCAAAGCGGTGAGCGCATTGTACTCAGGAGCCGGCGACAGGGAGGTGCTGGGATGGGCCCTGCACCCACCAAATGTGCCTTTGGCTGCTCACCCACATCTGCTCTCCTTAGCGGCGTGTCTAGACGGCCCTCTAACATTCGAGAGGAGCTGGAGGCAGGCCTGATTGCACTACGAGTGGTGATGAGCGATATCTGAAGAAGTCCTGGGTTAACCCCCCCCCCCTCACCTACCGCACTGACCAGCGTGGTGAAGTATGGTCAGACTCCCATGATCAAGACCGTGTGGGGGAGAGCATCACTCACTCGTAGATTGACAACAAGCTGAGCACGTTTCACGGAGCGAGAGCTTGACACGTGCAGAACCGTGCGGGGCATGGCTGTGTGGACAGTACAGCATTGGACGCGACCACAGGAGCCACAGCAGAAAGCACCACATCTCTTCATGAGTGGTAGACTTTGTGGCGGTGGTGGAGTTATGGGTAGCGTCAGTGATAGGGCTGGCACTTTCACCTAGGTCACGTGGTTTACCGGAGGCTTGAGCCAATTGAGACAAAAGTAGGTTAAGGTTAGCGAGTAATAGCTGGTTCCACAGGGTTGGGATATTTCTCCGGCTGGCTCAGTTGAGAGGCCCTAATCCTTGTGGCTGCTGCGTTTGCTGAAGAAGACTCGGGCTAGCATTTGGTTGCCTCGCGTTCGTGTTAGGTCTATGGGGGTTGGCTTGGCCGGCCAGCCAGCATGCTTCACTCATTCTCTTTGCAATTCGTGACCTCTTCAAGTTATGTCCGCTCTTTCTCAGCAGTGTTTACCTTGTCCGGCAAAAAAAGCCGGTTCACACCGAGGGCAGGGGAACCTCCTGTTCCCCTGCCTATTCGATCGCCTGACCTACCACCTATCCACCAGCTGATCGACCACTTGCTCTACCACCTGATTATCCACGTAGTTCACCATATGATTTACCACCTCGTCCACCACCTGATCTACCACTTGCTCTACCACCAAGACCACCACCTAAATCTACGACCTCGTCTACAAATTGGTCTACCAGTCAAGTCCACCATATGATCTGCCCTCTCATTTACCACCTAGTCCACCGGCTGTTCCGCCGCCCGGCCCACCGTCCGATCTACCGATCGGCACATGCGTTTGCCACGGACAGTATGATTCAGAGGAGTCCACGACCCCCCGCTGCTCCCTAGCCGCGGTTAAAACCACGGATTATGAAGCCACAAAGTAGAGGATTAGCCCCGATAAACTTGAGTGCCCTCCCCCCACCAACCCCGGCGGCTCCCTATGACCACACGTGCCACCCACCCCTAGCGCCTATCACTCTCCGTACCTTCCTGCACCATTCGCGGAACGCCACGGCATTGCCGCAGCGTATCGCTTGCTTGCCTCGTACGCACAACGGACGCCTCGCTTTAGAAACGTTTCGTGGCTTCCGCCGATTATTCGCAGCAGCAACAGCGGCGCACCCTAGGCACGATCCCTTCTATACAGAGCACAGACCCCGACGGGTACTACAGACGAACGGACACGATTAACCAGGCACTCCGCATGCACCACAGTGACAGCGACTCGAAAGAAAAAAAACACAAACGCACGCACGCACACGACCGGGCCGCTACATTACGGATGTAACCCAACTCCCGGGACAATCACGATGGTTGATGGGGTTTTTTTTGGAACATTAAACTTTTCTGTAGCCATGAGTTTTTGTGGCAACGCGGCTCACTTGGCGCAGCAAAGAGGCTTGTCACCGCCCAGCCCTGCGACAGGCGGTGCCGGCAAGCAGGAGGGCCGGGCCCACGAGTTCGTCGAGCCCATTCAGCGACGATGGAGAGTAACGGACTACTTTTATTCGCCATTACTCGGGCCCCTTGAACGAGACAATGTATCACAGCAGCTGCTCTGATAAATTGTCCCGCGAAGGTGGGAAACCCCCCCTCCTCCTCCCGCCCACCACGAGGCACGCCCCTGCTGTGACGTCACCATTGCCGCGACAAACACCTCCCGTCCAGCGGCACACGTGGGAACAGAAGTCAAGACTTTTTTTTTCAAAACTATTTCCCTGTTATCCGATTAGTCGCAAAATCGAACCGATAGTAAATCGATACTGGAATGGATATCCCATCTCCAATAAGCAGTTGGTGGTACAAGGAGACATACATAAACGTGGGTTTGTATGCTCACAATACACACATAGGACTGAATGCGTGCATAGCTAATCAAATCGTGGGCGGGGGGGGGGAATTATTACATCCCTGGGGGCACAGGTCCGTAATGCTCCGTCGCTCGCATGTGAAACCATTCCCGACCTCACGGAGCGCGCAACAATTCCCATCTTCACTCAACCCCGGCAATGGAGAGGCAGGTTGGTCAAGTGTGGGACACAGCGACCTCCCAATGCACACGCACGCTCGCTCGCTTACGCAGCCGAAAGCTTCGCAAGGCGGAGCTTGCGTTGCCGTTTCCCCTGCAGTGAAACCTTGAACGCACAACACAAGGGGGTGCTCGGAGCGTCTCTTGTCGTGCCTGGTGCTGAAGGAGGACGGGAGTGGCCACGGGAGCGACACGCAGCCTCCTTAAGAACCGAACGAGAGGTTCCCCCCCCTCTCTCCACCGTGAGTCCATGAAGACAGCAGCGAGCGCTGGTGGCTTACAACAGTGGCAGGGACCGGTCCCGCGTGACGCAACGCTCCTCTTTCCATCTGTGGCCCGATGCGCGATTCATCGCTGCACAGAGAGAAGCGAGCTCCCAGGTACCAAACCGAGCGCGTGCCACCCTGCGCCACCGTGCGGTACAATCAACCCGTGCCACCGTGCGGTACACAAGGGTCGCGTGGAGAGAGGCCCTGCGATCCACTTGGAGCACCACGCAGACGGATGGGCCGCACACGGCCGCGAGTCACACACTCTATAAGGAAAGCGTTTTTACACAGCGCCTCATGCAGGTTGCAGGCATGTGGACATTCACAATCATCGCTCAGTACAATCCACGACACACGGCGACATTCTTAGCAAATCATTAATATACAGAGGGGCTGCTGCTGCTGATGATGATGATGATTCGAGTGAAGGCTTTCTTGCTTGAGCGAGGAGGTTGTTGCCCCCCTTGGGTGCCGGAGGACGTAATTCAGCCTGAAGCAAAACAAAAATGCAAAGTTATGAAACGTCGATGAGGACCGAGCGTCCACTGACGTACCGGAGAGGCGTCTAAGAGCAACTTTACACCACATCGAATTTCAACACATCTTTAAAGGGCACCCCCCCCTCCCAGCAGCTGTCCCTGTGTGGCACAAGATGACTTAGCACCTGGCCTGCAAACGGCCAGTTGTCTGGCAGTGGGGAAGGGGGGGTGGCAAGTGTTTGCTGCCGTGTGTAATTCAAATGAGTCACTTGCTGGCAATTTTACAACTTGGCACACAGGACGGCCGACTCTTGCAAGCGACGTCAGGGGATGTTTCATGTCCACTGTGAAGCAGACGGCGAATGCTATTGTTATTAAGGTGGTTATTGCACACGGGAGGGACTGCTGGTTCGAACCGTGAACCTCTGCAACGAGCGGCGAACGCGCCACCGCTGCGAGATTCCACATTAGCAATAAGCAGCAGAGACAGTAACGCTTAAACACACCCTTTACAAGCTCCAGACACGGCACGTTTTGTTGGTCCACTGCCAGTGCGGGTAGTGGGGGTTATTTAACCGCATTTCCATCATCAACCTGGACAGCGTGGTTTAGCGAAGCCGGAGAGCATAGACGTGGCAGCACAGAAGTGCAGTACAACAATGGAATTTGCCGCAGCCCCCGTTCGTTTCCCGCAACATAGCCAAGCAGCTTGTTACACCGCGCACTCTATCCGGGGCACTATCTCCTGCCTCCGCTTCTGACATCCGATGAGATCTGATGAGGTTCGTGTGCATCGCAGACAATTTGATCACGTTCACTCGGAGGCTTATAAACGCCAATAAAATTTTACGGTAAACAAGTCGGTAAATAAATCATGCACAGGCATGGACTACGCAACGCTCTCCCGCACGCGTTTGTGTCTTTGTGGAAGCATTTAATAAGCGGTACGGGAGCCGGCGGGCAGCAGATTACATTTTTTTTCTCTCTTATATCTCCAAATTTTGGGCAGTAACCCTCTGATCAGCGTTAAACAAATTATTTCGAGTGCTGCTGCTGCATTGGCAGTGGTGTACAATTAGCAAACAAAAACTCAACACATTTGTAAATAACACTTTGTGGCTTTAAAACAAAACTAAATATGTATATAATGGGTAACATTTGGGGCAATGGCTAATTCTTTATGGCACATCAATGGGGTTTGATCAACATGACTCATTTTCTTCGGGTAAGTCCTGAACGGCAGTACAACTTTATCCTAAAGTTTGGCTCACATTGTGTCACCTTCACGAGCGTTATTGTGCCCTCCCCCTGCTGTTCAGGACGTGAGGTTCCGACGGGGCAGAGCTAACGAATCAACACATGCAACGTGAGTTGGCAAGCGCTAAAACAAAAACTGTGAAACATATATATAAATATATTTATTTGCTTTCTAAAGTCCCCTGGCAGAGGATGGAGCTCAATGGTGATCAGTCGGAGCGTGCCGGTGACCACCGTATGAACAACTGTGCTCTGTCTTCTTGGTTCTTTCGGTAAAGTCACGTAGAATGGAAACAATAAAATAATAAAAATAAAACATAATAAAATAATTCTCACGACGTTTCGGCCACAACGCAAGCAGCCGTCCTCAGGTGAAGACCAGGTCTGTCGGGGAGACAGCGTCTGAATGAATGAATTTCTGAATGAATGAATTTCATTCAGACGCTGTCTCCCCGACAGAATTTCTGAATTAATGAATTTCATTCAGACGCTGTCTCCCCGACAGACCTGGTCTTCACCTGAGGACGGCTGCTTGCGTTGTGGCCGAAACGTCGTGAGAATTATTTTATTATGTTTTATTTTTATTATTTTATTGTTTCCATTCTACGTGACTTTACCGAAAGAACCAAGAAGATGAATCCCTGCAGTCACGAAAGCTTTAAATCGAAACTGTGCTCTGGGCTGCTCAGCGAGGGTAGAGGTACGGAACAGGTTAAGACGCTAGCGCAGACGCGGACTCTGGGCTGCGGGCCGAGCTGGCGCCTCACCCTGGCAGGCCTCGTCCTCCACCATCTTCCGCTTGGGGGGATCAGTGCGGGCGGCCTCTCCCTGGAAGCCAAACTCGGCCCCGACTGGGAACCTGGGACGACACGGTGACACGAGACGACTCAGGGCATGGTGGGCTGAACAGAATGACACGCGCGCGCATGCACGCTGCATCTGACACTGTCAGGTGAATGCCAGGCGTTGTAGGTGTAGGTTGTAGTACACAGCGACAGATTCTGCATGCCGTGTGGATCTTTGAGTGTTACCCCCGCCCCTCACCCACTGATGTAATTGGCCAAACATCCCAATAATGCAGGACCCTTCTTAAAAGCAGGCTTGTGGCTCACCGAGGCTTTCCTGGTTAAAAAAGGGGCATTATTGTGACTACCATTTCAGATCAAAAGCCTTAAGTGACGACGCCGGAACGTAATGCAAAGCAGCTACATGTTCCCCTTCCGGAAACCCAATCATGGTTTGACATGCAGGAGCCCGGATTCGAATCCCGCTGCCAGATTTCACGCCCGCATCCTTGAAACGTGACCACATCACCCCGCGACTCGCAGAATTCCCTCCAGCGGCGCCACCCCCCCCCCCCTCCCAATTCACAGTCTCGCATCGTCAACTCAAAGATGACATTTGCAATGTTTAAGATTCTCCGTGAATCCGCCCCCCTGTCGACCTCCCTCTCCCTCTCGTCTAAAGCTATTCCTCTAAACGCGCTCTCCTACTTAGGCTTTCACGACGAATATCACGATTCGGTACATTGGTTTACTTTTTAGATCGTTGTGTGGGTATAATGTCTCTACGGTTTGTTTTAAAATTGGATCAGGAAGCTCTTTCACGCAAGAGCTGAGCTTTTGTCAATGCCTGACGATGCTGGATGAACTCTCTAGCGAAATGTTGTTGATAGAAATTAAAAATACTTTTCCTTGCTCTTCCAATGTAACCGGTTTTCTTAAAGGCAGAATCAATTTGGCACATTTGCCCATGGCACACAGTTTGGTTGTGTTGGGTGGTGAAGGGTTATCGTAAAAAAAAAACGATATTATACCAACACGACCTAATCCAAAGAAAATCAACAATGAAGCATTCTCCTATCTCTCCCCGTCTCATCTCACTCTCACCCCCACACGTCCCCCCCCTTCACATTCTCTCCGCCCCAGCAGCAACGCTTGAGCCGCGGGGAGTGCGAGAAATTTTTCGATTTAAAGCTTTCGTGACTGCAGGGATTCATCTTCTTGGTTCTTTCGGAAAAGTCACGTAGAATGGAAATAATAAAATAAAAAAAATAAAACATAATAAAAAAAAGTGTATTTTTTATTTTTATCATTTTATTATTTCCATTCTATTATGTTGTATTTTTATTATTTTATTATTTCCATTCTACGTGACTTTTCCGAAAGAACCAAGAAGATGAGTGCGAGGAGTACGAGGAGGGGGCAGCGTGGGGACGCGACTCACGAGGAAGGCCCTGCCCTGCGAACGCCGTAGCTGCGCTCGGGGACGGCCGTCGGGGAGAAGGCCATCATCTCCTCCAGCTGGGCTCTCAGCAGCTCCGAGTCCAGCCCTCCCTGCTCGGGTCCGGTGCCCACTTGCGGGGCCGCACGGCCAACCAACAAACAAACGCAGATTCGCATCATCACCCAGCGCAGAAGTACTCTCTCATCACAAGTAGTGACTAATCCCATATCTGCATTTTCCATAAATATGCTAAATTCCTCTGTTGATATGCAGATTCATTTGTCAAGGCGCCCTTCCTCCCCTAACCCAGATTAAATATATGCTGCCAAGCGTGGTGGTGTTCATTCAGATGCTGTCTTTCCGACAGACCTGTTCTTCACCTGAGGACGGCTGCTTGCGTTGTGGCCGAAACGTCGTGAGAATTATTTTATTATGTTTTATTTTTATTATTGTATTACTTCCCTTCTAAGTGACTTTACCGAAAGAACCAAGAAGATAAACCCACACAGACACACGCACGCCGTCGGGTGGGCGGGCCAGCAAGTAGGCACACCCGACACACGACACCACTCGCCCAGTGCTCACACGAGGAGCATCTGCGTAAGCACACGGCGCGTCGTCAGCGTTGGTCCACCTACGTCAACGGCAGTCACTGCGCGGTGCCGTCACGGCGAGGCCTGCCACGTCTCCCACGTACCTCTGTCTGGGTCGTTGCTGCCACCTTCTTCGTCGCCTCGCCCGTTGTCTGCGGAGACAGTTTCAGCGGCACGCGGTTAGGGTTGCGCTGGGACTGAACGAGAGGCGATTGGGTGTGTCCTCAACAGGATGCCGGCAGGGAAGACGAGAATTGAAACTGATTGGCCAACATCAGAGAGAGACTTCTTATGGCCTAGTCTCACCAGTCGTGAGAATTATTTTATTTTATTATGTTTTATTTTTATTATTTTATTACTTCCCTTCTACGTGACTTTACCGAAAGAACCAAGAAGATGAATCCCTGCAGTCACGAAAGCTTTAAATCGAAATTTAAAGTGCATTTATATTCTTGGTTCTTTCGGTAAAGTCACGTAGAAGAGAAAAAAACAATAAAAGAATAAAAAAAAAATTCTCACGACGTTTCGATTGCAACACAAGCACATTTTCTTGATGTGTTTTTCAAACCTGATGATGATTGCTTGTGTTGCAATCGAAACGTTGTGAGAATTTCATTGGTTTATTTTTATTGTTTTTTTCCCTTCTACGTGACTTTACCAAAAGAACCAAGAATATGAATCCCTGCAGTCACGAAAGCTTTAAATCGAAATTTAGTGTATTTACAGCTCAGGCGTTCTCTGTCTGACACTGGCGGTGAGACTAGGCCATAAAGAAGGCTGCTGTCTCTGGTGTAGGCCAATCAGTTTCAAAGACAATGCCCGTCTATTATCAGAGTGTGTTTGTTTGCATGTTCACGACAAGTACTGTGTGTGGGTAATGCAGACTTGATTCCTTGCAAAAGGTATCTAATCGGTGTTTGAACATCTTAACACCTTCATTTTAAGACTTTGATACGAGCAAAAAGGTCCCGTGACACAACCAGAATGATTCGTTGTTTTGAGCATCCCGTATGCTGGGTCATCTCGGAGCACTCTTAAGGGAACACCGAGGGCCAACGAAGACCACGAGGGCCGTGCCCCCCCTCCCGTGCGCGGGGACCGATGGCTCGCGTGACCCCAGCCACGCCGACCGCCGCGCTCGCGCACCTGAGTTGAGCTCCCGCACCAGCGACGACATGGTGTTGGTGATCGAGTCGGCCGCAACGAGCAGGTCGTTACGGAGATTCCTGCGGGCGCCTGGGCACGACACGCGCACAACGACAACAACCGCCGTTCGCTACCGTGGGGCGGAGAGACGTCACCACGGCACTTTGTGCCAGGCTAGGTGTACACGTATACAAGGACAAAAATCCCCCTGATAGTCTTAACAGACATTTGTGGCAAGCGCTGTTATCGAGCGCCTATGAAAGCCAGAACAGCACACAATGGGGCGGTGTGGCTAGCAACATGGCTTACCGCCTTTGTCTCCACACAACGTACATATTTATGGCTGTTTCAAACCACGGCAAGGCCCAGGACCAGTTCATATAATCGCCAACGACGTTGACCGTGGTCGAGAATCCAACTTAGGCCACTGTGCCCGTGGGCAAAGTGAGCCAACCTCCGTGCCACCACTCCACCCTCACACACGCGGGGGGTGCGTTCGTGCGCAAACACACACGCGCAGGCACGCACATGGAATCCCGTACCGCTTCATTTCCTGCTGCTTCAGTCCGAATTCCTTCCAGTGGCACAGACAGCGGCGCAACGCCGCTACATGGGGGGCCCCACGCTGGCGGAATGTGAACTACCTCGCCTGGTATGCAGGAGGTTGTGAGTTCGATCCTAACCCCGACGCCTGTACATTCGGAGTTTGCATGTATTTTCCCCATGGTGGTCGCGTGGATTTTTCTCCGCGTTGAGAAACAATGTGCGTTTGAAGGTATTTGGTTGCTATAAATTTTCCAAGTGATAAGCCACTTCGTCGAGCTGTGATACGTGATAGCCAGGGCTTCATAACAGCTCTGCGGGGCCTTACTTGGTAAAAGTAAAAAAAAATGTTCAGTTTGAGTTTACGTGAACACGAGGACAAGGGAGCAGAGTGGAGTCCACTGGCCCCCCACGGAGTTGGCCGGGCCGGGCAGCGCCTACCCCCCCCCCCACCAACCCAGGCCGTGCGATCGTCATCACCTTGCGCGAAGGCCTCCTGCACATCGCCGCCGACGCCCGTCAGCGAGTCCTGCGGCGTGTGCGTCGGCGTGGAGCCGGCCGATGTCGACCGGATCGGCATGGGCATCGGTCGCGCCATCGTGTGGCTCGGAGACGACCGCGGGGAGCTCTGCGTCTGCGGGGGCGTCAACGGCGGTCGCGGTGAACGGCGGTCGCGGTGAACGGCGGTCACGGTGAACGGCGAACGCGGTGAACGGCGAACGCGCGCGCGAGCAGTACAGGGCAGAGCGGCGGGCGAGCGGCCGCGCGATCTCAACTTACGAAGATTTACATCGCAACTTAACTTCAAAGGCGCTTTAGAAAGATTCTAAAAACAAAAATTGTACAGAAGATGATCATGGTTGAGATAAAGAGTGGGGGGGGGGAGGGTTATTAAAAGTGGTGTCATCATGCTGACGTGTTAGGAGAACAGATGCGATTGGTTAAAGAGGGGTAGAGGGTAGTGATAGGGGTTTGGGGTAGGCCTGGTCATAGCTGAGCGGGGTGGGCAGGGAGTCGCAGTAGTAGGATGCAACATGCATCACATGGTACGTAACATTTGGCACAAAGGTACGCGACACAACACACGGGTAACAAAGAACACGAGACAACAAAGGCAAAAATCCCCAGTGCAGCCTTCAACTGGATAATGGGCTGTGTGCCGTTAGCAGGCCACACCTATGAAGGCCATGGCACATGGCAGCGCACTGCACATCAAACAAAGCACACACAATACTCGCCCACATTACACGCATCGTATACAAAGATCCCCCGTATAGCCTTAACAGACTCTTGGGGCAAGTGCTGTTAGCGAGCACCAATGAAGGCCAACACGGCACACGAGGTGGTGGGTGTGAACAGTACCACGCCCGGCCACCTTTGTCTCCCCAGTGCCAATGTTGTTTGCACACTGCACCAGGAACTCATTTAACGTTTTGTCGATCTAGAGGAGGCCCAGGACCGGTTCAGATAATCGTCACCGGTGTTGGCCGTGAGCGGGAATCGAACTCTGCTCAACGGGTTCGTAGCGCAATGCGCTTACCACCACACTACCGCTCCCCCACATATAAACACGCACGCCCATGCACACGCCCATGCACACACGCACACGCACTCGCACGCGCAACACACGGCAGCGTCGTCACATTCTGGAAGAGCTGCCACGCGGCGTCGTTCACAACGAGGCCACGGTGACAGAGCCGCTCTTTGTACAAACACTTCACGCGCCGTGCACATTTGCGCGAGTTGTTCACAAACGTGATGTCCCCGAAGTATGTCTTGCATTCACATATAAAACGCAGTCCATGCATTTGCCAAGCTTGGTCGCTTTCAATGGTCAAGCAACAAAGGTAAAGATCCCCGGTATAGGCTACGCACACTGGAATCGAACACAGGTTGGCGGGTTCATAGGGCAGTGCACTCACCACTGCACCACCGCTCCCCATAGCAGCAGCAGCAACAACAACAGCCACCATTCGCCACTAAGTGGTGGTGACGTCACCACAGCGCTTACGCCAGGCTAGGTTCCACTTTGAGGCCACGTGGCGTGTCAGAGTGATGTGACAGACCCAGGTGCCACGGGTTGACTGCCTGAGATGACCGGCAAATGTGCCACGTGTGCTCCCTACTGGGTCAACTCGTTGCGCTTTAGCCGCAGACGCACACACGCACGAGTGCGCTTCCCAGAGAGGTTTATAAGTGGAGAGAGGCTTCACAGATCTAGGACTGAAGACAAATGAAGTCCGCCGTGGTCCTCGCTCGCAGCGTGTTTTTTTTCCCCGCTCTCGCCTCTGCGCCGCGCGGCGCGTTCTTCGGCGAAGCGCGTCGCTGCACACGGGATTTTCTCACGTCGCCACGGCACGCCGCGTACGGGTAAACTCTAAGCGGCCTCCATCGCAGCAGCAGCAGCGGCAACAACAGCAGCGGCAGCAGCAGCAGCCTTCCTGGAAAACCATGCAATTGATTTGCCCGCACGTTGAGGCGTTTGCCACGGGTTAGCACACCAGATAATGATTTACCCAGCGGGGCTGCTGCCACAGCGCTGTAACAGTTAGCAGCAGTAGCAGCAGCAGCCCACTGGACTGGCAATGCAAAGGTCGCCAGTTCCAGATCGATCTCCCAGCGCACAACGGGGCAAAGTTTATTAAATCACCAACCCCCCCTGCCCCCCGCCCTACTCCACCACCGCCACCGCCTCTGTCCACCCAGCTGTATAAATGGGAATGCCACACAGTTAGTCTATGATCGGCAGGCAACGAGCGGTGGGGTAAAGTGTGGGTAACTCTGACCTCTTGCAAGACGACTGGCCAGCGTGGCAGAGTATGGCTGGAATACCTCTCTTTGCTCTCTTGAGCTCTGGAGCCCTTTCGCCAGCAGTGGCGTGAGCAAGCAATTGCAGGGCTGCACCTTTATATATTTTTTACACAACACAGGAGCGGCACGTCTCTGCTCGATAATCCCTTCTTTACGAGTCAGGGGTTGCGAATGGGGTCAGAGAGAATTCGGCTCTGAGCTCAAGGGCAGCACCAAATTCCAACTCACGGCTTGGCGACTTGTATTTACCCGATGTGAGGTGCGATATCAAGTAAGGAATGGAGATGATGATGATGACAATAATTCACTGTACTGGGTCTCCTTGTGCTAAGGGTCATTCATGCAAAAAGTTCAGGGTCAAAAACACCAAGAACACTCCCACTAAATATATTTTGTTTCAAACTCATTCCACATTCTGGGTTATCGAACATTAAGTCGACCTTCCGTTCTGCATTCCAATAAAATATATGTGTGTTGACAACATCGTTAATATATATCGTATCGTGATTCGTCTAGACCTGGCACTAACCAAAAGCATTCGTTTAACCGAACTCTGTACCGGATTTAACTGGTACATAGTTTAGGCCGAATGCTTTCACAACACCGTCAAGGTCGAAACCAGTTCAGAGTTTGTTTTACTTAAATAAATAATGCCGCTTAACTCATTCTTGCAGGCTCAGGAGGAGGCCAAAACTCAAAACGTATTTATTTATTGCGGAGATAGAAACGGGAGGTCGGTTTTTTTGTCGTTTCTTTGGGGTAAAACACGATCGTTGAAACCGTGCAGAATTACGTGTGCGTAATCTCAACAGCCTGTGAAGAGCAAGCGGCATGGGGGAACCCACGCAAAGCAACAGCAGCAGGAGCAACAGGAGCACGGCTGAAGGAGGAGACACTTACTGCCTGTTTCTGTTCCTCTTCCTACAACAGGAGGCAGAACACAGAGCATCACAGAAGAATTAGCCAAGGAGTATGAAGAGAGAGGGCAGAGGGAGGACAGGAGAGGGAGGAGGAGGAGCGAGGATGAGGAGGAGGAGGAAGAAGAAGGGAAGGCGTCGGAAGGAGGAGCGAGCCAGGAGGAAGGGGAGAGGAAGGAGGAACATTCTGGGACCACATGGCACTCTTAGTCGCTGGAAATAACACTGGTCAAAAAAAAAAACATTTTTTTCTGGCCTGGACTTTTGCAGCTGTTTTAGACTAATTTCAGGGTGCCGATTCCAAATCTGATCTCAGATTTGCTCTATCACATCTCATTTTTATGCTATCGGCATACCCCATTTTCATTGATTTTACCCGAAATTAACTCTGTCACTTATGATTGCAAGTTGTTGCGAGCCAGTGACTGCTTTAGTGTTAAAATATGGTGCTGTATTTTTAGGATAGTGTGTTTATAATATCATTTTATGGAGATATCCACATCTATTTAATATTTTTCTTCTGCAGTTTTTATTGAAAATGCAATATTTGAAATCAGCACCCCAAAATTACCTTAAAACCATTGGAATACCTTATGCCAGAAAAAGTGTGTTGACCAGTGTTATTGAACTCAACCGCAGCACGAGTGGAGCGGTGGTGGTGGCAGCCCTGGCTGGAGCACCGGCAAAGCCAATTGGGGCGACTCTCTCGACCGCACTGAAGCGGCGATGTCAGTGACAGCCTCTCGGGCCCATGTGACCTACAGCTCCTCATCATGCTCATCATCGCCCCCACATCCTCGTCATCTGGAGTCAGCACTAGAGCTGGGGCAATTAACCGGTGAAGCTCGTTCATTGACCAAAAATTATAAATCGACAATTTTTTTGCGGTCAATTACTCAGGCCCCCCCCAGCTTCCTGCCTCCCGAAGGTGGGAAACCCCCACAAACCCCGGCGCAGCGTGCCGCACATGATGAAGCCAACGGCGTCGAGTAGCACGGCTGGGAATAAAGGAGACACTTTTTTTTTTCTCCCAAAAAATGCAATGCGTCGAGTAATCGACCCGATGACCAGCAGAATACATGGATGGCTTTAGTAACGTGATAGTCCAGCGCCCAGATTCTTACCAATCTAGAGTCGGCTTCCAGATCGTCGATAATCTAGAGGTGGCCACGAGCACCGGAGCAGAGGAGGGGGGTTGGTGCGGGGGTGAGGTGTGGGGGCGTCACGTTGCAGTAGGCAGCGGGACACGTCTATAATAATGATTACGACAATCATCAAATTTGTAAAAGCGACCGTCACGCCGTCAAATTGTGAATCTAACTAATGCCGCACGGCTCGGACGTGACCTGGGAAGCCGGCATGTGATTTATTTCCGTCTTTGAGTTTTCTTCCCCCCCCCCCCACCGCCCCCCCCCCCCTACACTCCAAGTTTTTTTTAGTAAATTCTTCACGGCTTGCCGCAGTTCGGTAATTACGTCTCAAGAGCCGCAAATAACGTGACGGAACGGGCAACGGCGCCGGCAGCAGACGGGGGTCACCTTGAGCAGCTTCATGAGTCCCTCCAGCTGCACCATGAGCTCGCGCCGACTTTCCTGCAGCGCCGACATGCGCTGCTCCAGCTCATCCTTGCGCTGCCTGCAACGCGCACACACGTGCACGCACACACACACGCGCACACACGCGCACACGCGCACAAAACACATACGGCAAGCAAACGGGCGCACGGTTATTTTGTCTAACCGCTAGAAATGGCGAAGTGGCAGACATAATATGTAGAGCCGTGAATGGCCTCTTAGGGAACGTGCTGTAAGGAGGCGCTCTACGAAGGCCGGCGCGGCACATGGAAGGGGGTGGTGCGGACAGCCATACGCCCTGTCGCCAGCGTGTCTCCCCAGTGGTGACGTTTACACACCACGCCAGGTACTCATTGAAGTTTTGGATAGGTGTGGGAGCGGCCGTGACTTGGGCCATGGGGCAGGCCCGTGTGAGAGAGGCTGTGACGTGGGGGCCGTGGGGGAGGCCTGCGAGTGAGAGAGGCCGTACCGTAGCAGCTTGAGCTCAGCGAGGAGCGTGGGGTTCTGCTGGTCCTTCTCGGGGGACGTCTGCGATGCCTGCTCATGCTCCAGCCTCAACCGCTGGATCTCTTGCATTATCTCCCTGGAGCACAGCGACGCGACGGCATGAGACAATCACGAAGTGGAGCCACAAACCACTGGAACAGCGAGACAAACGCAAAACAGAATTTGGAGACAACCGGGAACACGCAGACAGATACAACGCACGGACGCGCTGGGAGCAAGAGATCACAAGGTGAGAATGTAACCGCGAGGGGAAGTAAAACGAGGCAGACGATGCGGCCTTTACCGGTTTTTATTTTCCAGCTCGGCGATGAGCTGCCGCTGCTGCTTGTTTGTGTCGGAGTTGAACGCCAAATCGGTGGGCGTCCGCTGCTACAAACGCAACACGACAGTTGCACACCACGACGCACGCACGCGCACGCACGCAGAATAGAATACATGCCCACGCGCACGCAGATGTAAACAAAGATACGCACGCAACATACGCGGACACGCAACACACAAGGACACGCACAGAGACGTGTGCACGCACAACACACACGACATCGCGCGTACGCGCAGGCACGCAGACACGCACACATGCACACAGGCAGACACGTGCACACGGAAAAAAAAGACACGGGACACGTGCACAGACATGCCAGTGCACACAAGCAGACACACAAACACATTTAGAAGGCTACTACTGCCTCCTCCACGCAATTTTATCTGATTTCATAGTGAGATATCTCATTGTCCATAACAATGACCATTGTGTTTTTTTTACTAAATGTATAAGCTGCTGCACCATTCACAATGTAAGAGGTGCAAGCGAACGACATTCAGTGAGCCGGCGATGGCTCCAATCCTTTCACTATTAAGGCAATGGCACAGAGCGCATAGCCGTGACGCGATCAACGCGACGCTGCACTGAACAATCCTATTGTGCTTCATCACCGTCGCTAGTTTCGCCTTTGTCATAATGGTGACCCAAGTCACTCTTGCAAATCAGACGACGTTTATCAGGGTCTCTTGTGAATTCTCACCAGGTTAAACAAAATCAACTTGAGATGGGAACCTGAAACTAATACGGCATGCCCATCATAGTGTAAACCTCAGCAACGTGACACCGTCTGAATATGATAACTTGACACACTCATAGAGGGATACTTAACAATGTGACGCACACACACACTTTATGGAATGTCACAGTGAACAACGCGACACATCGAGTGTGCCGCATCTCCGATTATCACGGTTGGCTACGTATGGTGCAAAAGAAGTTCAACATACAGACAAACGCTCTGCAATGCAACAAAGACAACAATCCCCCGTACAGCCTTAATAGGGCAAGTGCTGTTAGCGAGCACCTATGAAGGCCGGCACGGCACACGAGGGAGTGGGTGGCCAGCACCACGCCCGGCCGCCTTTGTCTCCCCAGTGGCAATGTTTGCACACCGCACCAGGTCCTTATTTGAGGCTGAGTCGACCCAGGGGAGGGCCAGCACCGGTTCAGATAATCGTCACACCATCAACACAATTTTAACACCGGAAAATTCAAACGCTAATGTCACACCAAATAATACGACACACTCAGCACGGAGTGATACTTGACAGCATGACACACCGGCCTACAGAATTTGTCACACATAAAACCAAGACCCTCAATGAAGTGGCTTATCACGTGTCATTTTAAAGCAGCCGAATACTCTAAACGCACGTTGTTTCTAAATGTGGAGGGAAAAACCCAGAGGACGTGGAAAAAAAAATCCATGCGACCACGGGGAGAACATGAAAACTCCAAATATATAGGCGCCAGGGTCAGGATCGAACCCACGACCTCCTGAATACCAGGCAAATTAGTGAGGCAAATAAATAGAATGTACCATCGGTGGAGTTCATGGTCTCAGTTCGGTCACCAATGCCTACGGCGACGAGTCACCATCGCGCGGTGCTGCGCTTAATTTGGCAAAAATAAAAATATCGATTTGACCGCAATGCGACGACGAACGTTACTGTCGTGCGCAACAGCAGGTGGGAAAGTGCCGTCCACCGAGGCCGCCGGCAGTGATCTCAAGAGATAACTCCGTGATGTCCGCTTCCGTGCTCGGGCACGAACGCTCGGCACCGCCCTGGGAGAGATCCGGACGCCGCTTACTTTCATCATCTCGACGAGGTCACGAGGTGACGACGTGGAGAAATTACACGCGCGCCCGCCCCCCGGCACACGCACGCAACAAAAAATGTACGATCAAATAATTTAAAGAGACGAAAGCTCTGGTGTAATGACCTTTTTCTTGTCGTTTCAGGGATTTTGTTTATCTCCAGTCGTGGGATTTTGAGAGGATTTTTTTAATAGCCAAGACCAACCAAATCAATGAACTGAACCTGGCTATATATATTTATAATAAAAAAATGATTCTGTGCTCCCAGCGGTTGTTGGACAATCCGATGGAAACTCACCTTCAACAAGGGAAACAATTTCAGTCTCCGAACGTGCGGAGAATTCAAAGAGGAAACGCTTCACGTATATCTATCTCTCTCCTTCTCGATCGCAGCTCGGAGGCAAGCAGTCGACGCCGATGGCTTCCCGTAATGGCTCGCGTGCCACCATCACATAGCGAGCCAGACGATGCATCTCGCACCGACGGTTATTTTACGAAGACGTAACGAGCAAATTATATTGCGATTCCACCGGCCCGGAGGGCATTAGTTAAGGTGACGGCTCAGTCGCACAAAACTGGAGAGTTACCATGAAGTAAAAATATCACGCACACGCCACGACCTGCAAAAGTGCCGGCACGTGCACGCAAAACAAACGCAAAGATCCCCTGCCCACCCGATAGAGCCTTTGGGACAAGTGTTGTTAGCGAGCACCCATTTAGGCCTGCACGGCACACGAGGGGGGTGGGAGTGGCAGTACGACACGCGTGACCACCTTTTTCTCCCGCCCATTCCGATGTTTACACACCGGCCCCAGGACCAGTTCAGATACATACATGGCAAGTGCTGCGAGGCGTATGACGCGTGGTGAAGGTGCAAGCAGGTTCCCCGGTGCGGTGCGTGTGGTGTGCCATATGCCGCGGAGGGTGCCCCTCTGCGGTGTGTGTATGTTGCAGTTAATGATTCGTGGTGTGTGCGGTTTGCCGTACGTGTACAGTGTGCACCGTGGTACTGGCCTCGGCAGCGAGTCTGGCAGCATAGCGAGCGATGAGACGGTGTTCCTCATCCAGACGGCCGGGGCTGTCGAGCCCGCTGTTTGAGCTTCACACAAACACACGCACGCACGCGCACGATCACAATCACACTCAAACACACACACACGGCACAGCTGGTACAAGACAAAGATCCCCATGTAGCCTTAACAGACTTTAGGAGCAAGTGTTGTTAGCGAGCACCTAGAAGGCCGGCGGGGTACACTGGGGGGGTGTGGGTGGCCAACACCACGCCCGACCACCTTTGTCTCCCCAGTGGCGATGTTTAACACACCGCACCAGCTACTCAATAGAGGTCCAGTCGACCTAGGGGAGGCCCAGGACCGGTTCGGATGATCGTCCCTGGTGCTGGCCGTGAGCGGGAAACGAACTCGGGTTTTCCGGGTTCGTAGGGCAGCGTGCTAACCATTGCGCCACTGCTCCCCACACACACACAGCGCGCTCCTGATACCGCTGGCACCGTCCGCAACCCAAAGTTGAACGGCAACATATCGGACGTTTACGTGCTGCGGGACGTCTGGTCAGGGACGAGCCTCGCTCGTTGGGCGGCCACACGTCCGGCGCGCAAGATTAACGACGACGACGCCGCCGCCGCCGCCGCCGCCGCTCTTTGCGCTGCACCACGCAGCGGCGTTTAAAACGACGCCAGGTAATTAAATGGGGGGGGGGGGGGGGAAGAGGTCTAAATGCTCGCGCTGTCGATTGCGCGCAGGGCTCTTTGTGCAACGCCGCGAGCGACCGACAGCCGCGCTCCGACAACTCAGAAGGACGCCGACCACTGTCCACGCAACCTGCGGTCCTAGAACCCTAACGAGGGGGTTACTACTAATTGCATTCAGGGCGCACGGGCATATACACGAAACAAAACTAATTGATTTACCAGGCTAAGCCTCCTGATCCCTTAGCTTATTTTCATAGGCTACCTGGACACACGTGACTGGACGTACGTGGGCACCAAATAATCTAAACGTATGTCTCTAAAACGTGGATGGTAAAACCGGAGGAACCCGGAGAAAAATCCACAACGAAGGCATACGAAGTCCACATATACAGGCATCGCCAGGGTCCGGATCGAACCCATAACCTCCTAAAATCCAGGCAAGGGAGATGACATCTCCTCGCCAACGCGGCGTCCCTAAGAAGAACTGATTGGTTGGAGCTCGCGCGTGGACAACGATGTCTCTGGCCAATTCAGTCGGAATGCATCCCATCTTGTCAGATCTCGGAAGCCGGGCGGAATCGAGCTCGATTATTTGCTTGGATGGGCGACTGCCATGCACGAAATAGGCGTTGTAGGCTGGGCAGGATTACTGTCCTGGGCTTCTCCGCTGGACATCTTTGACTCGTGTCCCTTCACCAACTCGCACTGACCAGCGTGTGGCGAAGAATGGTCACAGACATAAGCCCCCTACGACCCGCACGGCACGGGGGCAGACTCTCATCCAACAGCCGATGAACAAAACCAAAGAATAGGGGGTGTGGGTGTTCACGCGGCGTGCAGGGTACACGACTGCCAGGCCAAATGCCGGTTCCCTTCATCGCGGCAGCTCGGACAGCCTGACGATCCATCCAGCTCCGTGGGGACGCGTGAGTCACCCTGACATGCGAATCATCCGTGCAAATGTGTAAACCGCCAGTGAAGTAGAGATGCCGAGCAGCGTACCCTTGCCCGTCCACGTAACAAGCCCCCTGGGTAGACCGTGCGATGCCGTCCAGATTATAGGACGCACTTTTGTTGCACTGCGTTTTAAAGCGAGATGTGGGGAGAGTGTGGTCTCGTTGGAGTGCCCTTCATTTGTGCAGGAAGAGCCTCACCGAGTCTCAAGACTCTCTTTTTAGGAGGGTCCTGTGCCAACTTGTCAGACTAGGAGGTGATGTTGCTGCTGTGTGTAATCTCACTCGAGTAATTTGCATAGATGTATGTTGAACTTCTTTTGCACCATACGTAGGTAGCCAACCCTGCTAATTGGAGGTGCGGGTAATTATTCAGCAATGGGATGTTTTGCCTGATACCGGTGACATTGTTCGTTTTAGCTCTGAGAAGAAACCGATGGACCCAGATGAATCAAACGTAAAACAGAGGGAGAACATACAAGCTCCACGCAGAAAGCCGCCCTCATCGGGAATCGAACCCAGGCCCCTACTTGCTGCGAGGCACGCGCGTCACCACTACACTGCCATCCTGCCCTAATCCCTAGTTCGTTGGGCTCATGTGCGCGACACCGGATGTGCGACTTGTTCGGCAACGGCACAAACTTTAGAGCGCGTCTTATTTACTGGAGCGTCTTTAAAAATTAAGAGAATACGGCGACACACGGCGTGCACACATGTTCTGACGAACAGGTCGTTTCCATCCCGCGGCACCGCGATGTAAAAAGTACCAGGTTTACGGACGTCTACTTTGAAGCGTGAAAAAAATATCTCTGGCCAAGGACGTCGTGTAGGTTTTGCTCGGTGCTGGTGGGCTAGGGGCTATACACAACCCTCCTGGGCAGGTCCATGACCGCCTACAGCCATGGGCTCTAAGACGAGCCCGAGACTTGTTAGAAGCGTATTTCTTTCACCACGGCTCGGCATTTTGACGATCGCTGATTAAGGAGGCAGAGGGAAGCCCAGTGCCTGTGCCGATGGCAGTGGTAAATATATTGGTGGGAGCACGGAAGCCCGCGAGGGTGGGGGGGGGAAATGGGTGGGGGGCGGTGGGCAGTTGGAGATGGAGTTGTGGGGGGTGGAAGGGAGGTATGTGCAGTTTATAATCTTTATAATGAGCAGGCAAGTATTGTTAACGTTTACTTTTTACCCGTGAGGGCCCAATGACGAGCCACCGTGTGTCGATGGGGGGAAGGGGCAGCTCGTGTGTGAAGGGGCTGCCCAAATGAGAGGGCAGCGTGTGTAGGAGGGCAGCTCAATCATACGCATCGGGACGCAGCAGCGGCGGCGGTAGCAGCAGCAGCAGCAACAGCAGCAGCCGGAATCAAGAGAAGTCGTTTTGATTTCACGCGCAGAGGAGACGCGAATCACGGGAAGCAAACCAAAGGGAGAGCGCGCGCGGGTTTGGCAGGTGGGATACGATTCGGTTGCGCAGAGTAGAGGGTGGCGCAAATCTTGGGAGGGATTCGACACGGAACATCAATGAGGCCAGGCTCGTTACGGCACCTTCGTGATCTGCCGGACGAGCGGCGATATTGAAAATTAAATGCGCACATATCGTAGCGCAGCTGGGAATGACACCTTTAATGCTAACTGCTGTTATTCCATTTAAGTAACCTGAATTACTGTCCGATGTAATTACTGGCATCGCTTCCGTTTATTTTTTATTTTTGCAGGCATGTTGTCGATGACGATCGATGACCACTGCACCCCGCATTTTCTCTCTTGCGACGCTGCCGTGATGGCGATGGGGACGCTGCCGTGATGGCGATCGTGGCGGTGATAGCGATCGCAATTGTGGCGGCGATGGCGATCGCGGGCAATGATGGTGATCGTGGGCGGTGATGGCGATCGCGGTGATCGTGGCGGTGATGGCGATCGAAGCCGCGATGGGGCGCACGCGGGGCCCCCTGCGTACCGGTCGCCGTGCAGCAGACGATCAACGTACAGGGCAATTAGCACATGCTCGTCAGCCATTCGATTGGCCATGTCCAAACTGTACTGTATTCTGACAGACGGGGGGGGGAGGGGGGGGCAAAGAAAAATGAAAACATAAAGACGCACGCACACACGCGCACGTGCTCGTGAACGCACAGAACAACAAATGAAACTCACAAAAATGACAAGACGAAAGAGAAACGTTCCAATTTGTGTTAAAAAAATTAAGTTCGGTGCGGGGGACGGGGAGGGGAACGTGTAGGGAAAAAAATCATAAATCAAAATTCAAATCGCGTGCATGCAAAGTGAGAAGGAAGCAGAGAAGCAGAGTGAGCAGCACAGACCCACGCACGCGCACGCACGCACACACGCACGCAAGCACGCACACACACATGCACGCAGTGGGCCCGGGGAAGGGAGGGGGGGCGAACACAGGCCGGAGCAGCCACCAAAGCACAGGCAGCCAGACGGCGCCGCAGACTGCAGCCGTAACGCACGACCTGGTCACCGCAGCATCACAGTGGCTTAGTCACGGGGGTAGCGGTGTGAAACTGGCAGTGTTTAGTGACTCGTAGTGACGCGGTTTAGCTGCGGGTGACGCGGTTTATCTGCGAGTTATGTGGCTTAGTTGCGGGTGACGTGATTTAGTTGTGGGTGACACGGTTTATCTGGGGGCGACGCGGTTTAGCTGAACATGAGCGGCGACGACCACCAGCGGAGCTGGGGTTAGTCGCAGCCAGCACGCCGAGCGAGTCTCCGCTGCTCGACGCAGTCACGTGGGGTGACAAGGCGGTGTCTGTGCGGTGAAGCCGAGCGGGCGGACAGAGCGCCCCCACGAGAAGCACGCCGCAGCAGCCACAGGTGCAGAGCCAAGCGCGAACACGTCAAGTCCCGGCCGCGTGCGCACACTCGAGGGGCGACCTCCAAACGCAATACAGGAAGGTGCGTTGGCATCGCTCCCCTGCAGCCTCGCGATGGACGAGCCCTCGGCCCAACTGACCCGACCGAGCTCTGCGGGAGCCACTCCGTTATCGAATGGAGGAGGATGATTAATGAAGAAGTAACAACTCCTGGGTGGGGCAGGTGGGGTACAGGGTTTTGATCGACGCGTCGGGTCGTAGATTTGGGGCGGCGACTCGGCCGTGCGGTGGCACGCGTCAGAGGTCGCAACCGGGTACCCGATACCCGTACCCTACCCGATACCCGGCTACCCGTACCCGGCCGGGTACGGGTAGCCATTTACGACCCTGGTGCGGCCGGGTACGGGTAAGGAATCAAAACCTGTTTGCGACCTCTGGCACACGTTCACCGCTCGTTGCGGAGGCTCGCGGTTTAAGACCCAAGCGGCCGCACTGGTTAATACCACAGGCGCATTCAGACAGCAGGTGCATTAATACCGCAGGATGTGTCAACCATCAAATAAATAGCAATCCCAAAAACCCGCGGGCACCGCTTGCGTGCAAATCCTGCTGCGACCTCCCTGCCGGGCGGGAGGGGAGGGGCGGCGGCAAGCGGCAGCAGAGGTCACGCTTACTCACCCCTTGCCCTTGAGCATGCGCGGGGTCTCCCTACTCAGCACCTTGCTCTGCTCTAGCTCGCTGGCTCTCTGAGCCAGCACCACCTCGGCCACTCTGGGCACAGCAATGACAGGGCAATCCGTCTCACCGCACCGTCCACCTGGCACGCGCCACGTCAACCTCGCCGCATTGTTGCCACATCAACCAAGACCAACCCCCCCCCCCCGCACCCCCCGGAGCCCGACGTCTGTACAGTCCTGAGCCCTTCCACACTTTGCTGTTAAGCCAGGGCACTACGTCCGAGACACTCACCACACACTTGCGCGCGCGCGTGCAGAACAAATTGCGCACGCAAAAGGTTGTTTTTCTCTTTTTAGACAGCGCTTATTTTTAGGACGCCAAACACGAGGCTCGAAATGCCGAACCCAAGGAAATTACCGAGAACGTGTTTACACATGCGCACCAATAACTTAAATTAGCAGCTATAAATTACTTAAGGTAAACATTACGGGAATACTGCCTGCACTTGATTACACCGTGACACGAAAACCAATTAAGTCTTCAGTACGGGGCCCAAACTGCAAATTAGGGTAAAGAAACATGAAGTTGGGGGGGGGGGCTCGGGGGGTGGGGGGGGGGCACGGGGGTGGGGAGCTGTGAATCTCTGCAACGCAGCCGGGCGAGCTCCGGGAAAGCCTTGCCGTCCGTCCCAAGGTCTCGCCTGCACGCGTCTGACCTTGGAGAGGAGCGGAGGGGAGAGCCGGCCAATAAAGGGGACAAGGCATTTGCAGGCATCACTGGACACGAGCGTCACTTAAGTCGTGACCAGAATGAGTCGGGGCCCCCACCCACCCACTCCCGCCACACTCCACGCGCAGAGGCTGGAACAACGCAGCAACCAATATCATAAACAACCGCGTCCGCCACCGCTCTCCACTCGCGTGTGACTATCGCAAATTACCAGCACCGCCCGAGTTCGGCGGGGGGCCGTTAAGCGCACGCGCCGATTATGGACGGAACGATTCACGGCCCGCCCCGCCCGCCACGTGGCGATTCGATGATTCGTACGTACGTGTGCAAGTAGAACTTAATTTGCACCGTACATAGCCGACCGTGCTAATCGGAGGTGCCCACCGATTCAGGGTCACGATGATCCGCAAAGTTTTTTTTACCGCGCGACGGGAACCGATCACGCGAATTCTGGTGTTGAAGCGGGGAAACGCGGCGATTCATGCACGTGCGATTCCGTCACACCTGGGGACGGGGAGGATAAATGAATATTGCAGTTGTGTCTTTCGGAATGAATTTCAAATCACGGTGTAATTATAATTTGGGCTGAGAGCACTGCTGCTGCTGCAGCTGCTGCTGTGTTTGTAATTAGAATGAACACCGGGTCAGGATTCGACGTGTGCATCATGAGCTTCAGAATCTATATGAATTAATGACATCGCTCCATCCCGTACCGCTGCTGTTAAGAAGCTGTGCGGCGCGAACTACTTTTGTCATGGATTTCATTTCTCATCATTCTGCCCACGTGCAATGCAGAAGCGATTATCGTTAATGAACATGCAACACAGTGCCTGTGCGCGTGATTCACATAATGCGCACGGCACTTTGAACGTGTGAATTTATAATTCGCAGGCTGTACGTGTTAGAATGTAATGGTGGTTCAGAGCACTACGATGGCCCGAGTTTGACTCCCAGTGCTGGGCTCTCCACCATCACCAACCCGCATTGACCAGCGTGGTGAAGTATGGCCAATGAATCCCCCATTACTGACAACGGCATGGAGAGGCCATCGTCCAGCAGTGAATTGACAAAGGGGTTGTAAATGATCGTTACTATAATTATGAATAGATAGTCGGGGTTCAAAGATGCATCAGTTCATCGATTCGTATTGATTCTTACGCTCGTACATGCATCAAAGGGTGTGTGTGTGTGAACTAATGCCTTTCAATGTGGTTACGGTGGGTGTAATGGGTTCCTTGACCTCTACAGCCACCAGAGGTGCCGCCGTTCACTGTAACGTTCGACAAACTATTGATTCTTGAATCGCGACAATTCATTGAATCGTCGCGGTGGGGGTTGGGGGGGGGCAGCGAGGCGGGGGGAGCGGGTCCAAGGGTGATGAATCGTTCCATCCATAATTAGCACGTGCTTACGTTTGCCAAATTCGGCGCCGATGGTGATTTGCGACGGTCGCACACGAGCGGAGAGCGCGGTGACGAGCGTGCAGTAGTTTATAACGTCGGACGCGCCGGTATCCCAGCCCTCTTGTCGCGACAGCTCCCACGGAACAAAAAATACCGTCAACGTTTTTTAAAGTCAGCGTCACTCGGCAGCGGAGGGAAAATGGCTGGTGGGGAAAATCGTATCGTCGCCTCGGTTGCACATCACGCTGTACGGCAACGCGAGGCGTCTCCCCAAAGCGTTTGCGTGTCCGGCAGCTTTCACATCAGGACCGATCGAGGGGGGGGGGGGGGGGGAGGTGTGGAGGATTAATCACAACAGCGGGCAGTGATTGATTCGAACGAGCATGCGCTCAGTGTTCACATTGCCGGGGCTTCCCCGTAGCTGTGTTTGATTAATGCGGGGCTTTTCGCGGCGCACACTTCGTTCATCAATCTTTGACGATAGCCGCCCCGGTTAGATGCGTCTCCGACTGAGCGAGGACCAGCTCCTCGAGATACGCGCTCGATCGAAGGTCGCCTCGGTCGTCTCGGCGCTCAGGAGAACCAGGCCCCCCGCCACGGAGAGAATCGACGGCGCAGCCGCCGGAACGGCAACGAACGCCGCCGAAATCCCAGCGCAGTCGGGCCACTCTCGACCGTCGCCGGGGTTTTGTCCGCTGACGCGCGTCGCCCGGCGCTGCCGATCGCGAGGCTCAGCATCCCATTTGTCGCAAGCATCGCCCCCTCACAGCGTCGCCCATGTGCTACGAAGCTGCTGCTGCTGCTGCTGCCAATAATCATTGATTATTCACAATAATAGGTTTTAGCAAAAACGTAATTAACTACGGGAGACCGTGTACAACAGGGGATGCCAAATTTACTGACCCTGCGAGCCACATGGCAAAAATCTTAATGTGCCCGAGGGTTCCAAGACACTGCGCGGGTCACGTAAGTTAACTGGAGTCGTCGTGTGGGGTGGTCGTGTGGGTGGTCATGTGGGGTGGTCGCGTGGGGTGGTCGTGTGGGGTGGTCGTACGGCTCATTCGCTGGCACTGGTTGGCTGTGAAGTTTTCAATAAAAAAATGTGCGGGGGTAATCATGCCTGGCTCCGCCGCCAGGTTTGTGAGTGCCCTGGGCCGCTCCTGCTTCCACAGATCAAAGGTATTTTGAAAGTTACAAATTAACTACGAATATGAACTGCGCGACTTTCAAGCCACGGGATGTGACCACCACTGGCATACACTCCCGGTGTAACTAATCGAGGGAGAATATCAGTGTTTGGCAGTGGCAGCAACAGCATCGCCTACTGCATTTGTGCCATTCCCTTGTACAAAGCCATAGCATTCGGTCAACGCCAACCGCTCTCGCATGGAGGCCCTTCTCCAGACACACGGGCCACGCGCATCACAGAGACAGACGTGACGACGCTCTTCGTGTCCACAGAGGCATCTGAAAGTAAAAAAAAAGTACGGAAAACGCAACTGTCAGAGCTGCCGCCACCACGATCACCCGCCATGGCTGTTGGCGGGTTCAGAGGCACCGACTTTGCACGTGCGATCACACCTCCTCCGGTTTCACGGGCGAAGGCGGTGACGTCTCCGTCCACCTTTCAACGTCGTCAAGTCAGGGCTGGCCACTGCAGCAATCCATCAGGCTGCTGGTCACCACGGCTACAAAACACCAAGGCTCTCTACAATCCACAGTACAAGCGAACGCGCACCAACGGATCTGCCGGATCCATCGCCCGTGGCAAGCGGGTGCCAAACGGCTCGGATCGTGTTCGCGCAAAAGGGATTCCTGGGCCTGGGAATTGGGAAACGCGAAGCTCACCTCTTCGTGGGCGTGGGGCTCCCGGAGGAGAGCATGGAGGGCGACACCAGGGTGCTGTCGTTCATGTTGTTTGGCAGCGGACGTGCCGGCCTGCGGGATTGAACAGAGCGGCGTGAGCGACGCGTGCTTGCACCTCTCGGCACGTTCACGGCCACGCGAAGGAAAGCGCGGGCCAAAAGCGGCCTCAACGACCGTCGCCGGCCTCGTCGCCGCCTCAACCAATCGCCCCCAAGTCTTGCGCCACCCTGAAGGTTGCCTTTCAATTTAGGTTCCTTCAAATGGCTCAAGGGGCCACGTAGTTTTTTGCGAATTCAATCACAGAACGACCTCGCGAGCGCGCGCCCCGCTGCAAGACGGCGCGCGTCCAGTTGCTCTGCTGCATCTTGGCCTCCTGCCCAACGTGAACTTTGCCGAACTGAATGAGAAAGCCAGTCACGTGCGCCGCTGTTACAAGAACACGTGGGCTGCTATTCGCTGCCGAGCGTGGTTGCGGTCTTGCCGTTGACCGCGAAGCTACGAACATCACCTGCACACTTCCCCGTTCCGAGACGTCTGCAAGTTGCAGGGTGGGGGTCCCGTTCGCCGCCGAATCCCAGAACGCGCAACCAGAAGGTGTTCATTGTATTTAGAGGCGTAGCAGCGCCGCTGTGTTTAAAGACACTGTACTCACCGCAGGGAACCGTAGCGACACGACCGCACTCTATTACAACTGGCGCCAAACTGTGCCCCACGCCCTCCCGCACTGCCTTTGGCAATTCTGTTCTTATAACGTACAACTACGCGCACGTACATCATCTGAACGGAATCGGAGGGAAGACTGATTGCATACACCTTACGTCATCGAAATGGGAAAGGGTTAAGAGGAACTTCATACGGGATGCTGTACTCAAAGAGTTGCCGTGGGCCCTGCCACACAGCACAGCAGCTAAAACAGCCCCGTACAAACGGCACAGCGACCCTTCCCGCGCCCTGCCCCAGTCTCTGCGGATGATCGTCTGCCATGACAAATGCCAGCAATGTGCAGAGCTCTGCTATTTTCGAGACTAACGCTACTAAGTTTTGGTTGCGGAGCTCACGTGGTCCGTGACATGAATTTTACAGGAACAAAAAAAAAACCCCACAACCGTCATGAGGAAATCCCCCAGCGCGCTCGAGCCTGTACATACAAAACCATGAATAGCGATGATGATGATGATGAACAGCTAATTGGCAATTAGTTTACTGAGAGCTCAGCCTTTGCCATTATTTCCGTCCCGACGCGACCCTGCCGCAAACACGACTGCGCTCAGGCAGGCTCGCCGACGGCAGCGCCGGAATCAAAAGCGACGAGCGCGCTTCACTGCTAAATCCACGGCACCACTGCCGCCGACGCTCGGGCTCCCAACGGTTACGCGCGCAGCGAGAAACGCGACGTGGTACCTCTCTGCTCCAACGACCTCGGTACAAAGGCGAGGAGCAGTTTTGGCATAGAGCGCACCGCGCTCAATCAGGTATGACGCAAATCGCTCCTCCGCGTGGTCCGCTACTTGGACGGAAAGCGTTGGCTAGACGGCATGGGCGCCACAAAGGAACTGCATCGAGGAAAATAAACGAAAGGTTTAAACGGCGGGAGAGAATAAGCGCAGCTGGGCCGGGAGGATGTGGAGCGGCGGTGAAGGTGGCGATAGCCCCCGCGGAAAAGCCAGCTTCTGCGAGCGAGCAGGAGGTTTTGGCTCTGGAATAGCGATAAAGTCACGTGATGCGTCGCGCTCTCACTGCGCGCTCTCCCCCCCCCCCTGTTCACGCTCCCCGCTCGACTCTCTCTCTCTCGCTCTGCCTCTCTCCTTCTCCTCCTCCTCCCTGTTCTGGCTCGGCCCTACTCTCCCTCCGCGTCTGTAAGGACGCGGAAGATCCTTGGGCGTGAGCGCAGCCCAGCGCGGATTTCACGCCTGGCCCCCGTCACCATGGCGACAGGACATGCGAGCGGGAGAGGAGGAAGAGGCGGAGGAGGAGGCGGCGACACCGGGTGACTGCCGGACCTCAACTCGCTGCCCCCCTTGCCGCTCCGCGGGCCGACGACTGGCGCCAGATTCTGGGTGCGCTCGCCGCTCATTGCGCCGTTACGCAAAGAAGCAGCGACGCAGCGGCCGCTAACAACGGAAAGCGTTTACGGAGAAAATAAAATCCCAGCGGCAACAAAAAATAAAAATGAACGTGTTGTTAATTGCGATAACTTTGCAGCCCGAGCATTTGACCTTTACGGTGGCTCGATGTTGCCGTGCATTTTTTTTTTAAACACAAAATAATTAAAATTTCAAACAGCTCCGCCGCCTGCGCTGTTGCCAAACGCGAAGAGCGAGATTTATTATTCAGTCCTTGTCCTATTAAATCACCGCAAACGACACCACTTCCACATTAACCTTTGAGAGCTCTCCGGGACCACTGAGAAAACCCGATGTGACATCTCAGCTGCGTGTCTCACGTAAATAAATATTTTAAATACAATCCCCGGGGCTTGCAGGGTTTGCTGCCGGGAGAGCCCTGAACAATCACGCCACCACCGCCACCACCTCTTATCCCATCACAACAATCGCAACTCACTTTCTTCCCACGTCCCCTGCAATTCTTCGTTTACGACTTTTGTCGGCTGCATTTTAGTCTGTATCCTGATCCCATGCCGGTGACTTTTTCTGTTGGCAGGCACTCTGCAAGTAATTAATTCACTGTGGTCCTCTCTTTGTTTGATATCAGGTTTTTTTTTTTACAAATGAACAAGAACACACCGATTCAGCACAAGGAAAGGTAGGGAGGATTAAAGCCCGTTTTGTTCTAATAGCCAACGGCATGTCGTTACAAGTGCACCAAATAGCCGCTCGTACAAATTACGGTACTGCCCAAGGTCAAACGGCTAAACTAAGATGATGTTAAAGCCATTGCTCCCGAGAGCCGCGTGCAAAGCGGCAGAAATGACGAAGCCTTGATGCACACGCGCCCGCCGAGGCTCAGTAAGACCGCGCACGATGCACGACCCACGTTTTTCTGGGTCGCGCCGCCGCGTTAGTTCGGCGCGATGTCCGACGTTTCGCTCCACGTGGCGGAAGCTGCTTCGGGGAACGGGTTCCTCCCAGCACGGGCAGCGAAAACGTTGCGCCGAAACAACACCACGGCGCGCGCGGGTAAGAGGCGGTGACGCGTCGGAGGGCTGTTGCAGCAGCACAACCGTGAAAAGCTACGCAATGGCACGGAGCGGCAAGTCGGGCTCACGATCCAATTCAAGGGATCACATCAATACTCTCTTGTATCGTTAAGTTGTCCCTCGCAGCGAGGTAAATTATATATTCGGTCGGGGAACCGATTGTCTGTACCCCGATCTTTGTCGCCCACACGTTATTATCCTGTACGTGGAAATTCTAATCGCCGGCACATAGGGTTTAAGGGGAGAGAGTTTGCCGTGGGGAAGCACTGCACGGTCTTGGCAAGCGGGAAGCGATCAGTGCCAAGACACGCGAATTTTAATTATGCTGCGATTACGAATGTACCAATAATATTGAAAGAAAGTGTAAAAATACAATCACAACCAACGCATTTGAGAACTAAAGTCGAGACAATTCAGTATAAATCCTCAAGGTAGTGGGAGACTAAAACTGTCCGTCCTGACTGGCTGCCTTGTTCTTCATTTGTTTTGTTGATTTTTTTGACTCGTTCTTATGTGCAGGTTCGTCCGCTCCATTGACCTCAAGGTAGCACTGGAACACAATTTTGCTCGTCATTTTCCTTCACCGTTAACAATCCATTGGCAAGCGCCGCGACTCGACGCGCGTGTTGGGCGAAAGCAAGCGTCGACGCGAACGACACGCCCGGCATAAAACGCTGCCCCGTCTCTCTCGCGCCCAGCGGCGTGCGAGCAGTGCGACGTTAGCGCCGACCCTTGCGATGCAACCCGCCCCCCCACCCCACGCCCCCACTTTGTTCTCGCACGTGGTCCTGCACGATTTCGTCAAGCGCAAGGCCATAGCCAGAGGACAACCAATCTCGGCACTGGAATAAGTGACGCGTGGAAATGGTGGCAGCCGGGAGCGCCAGGAGCGGACGGCGCGGCGGTGCCACACAGCGGCGGCGGCGGCGTGGGGGACCGGTTGTTACAACTCCATTCGGCGTGCGATGGCAACTAAGACAAGGATCCCCCTGCCACCGTGTAGCTACACAGGCTGCAGGGAAAAATGTTGTTAGCGAGCGCCAGGTGCTCCCAAATATTCACGACGACATACCGCCATTCGTCACTTAGTGGCGGTGACATCACCACAGCGCTTATGCCAAGCTAGGGGAGCTTTGAGGCCATGTGAAGTGACAAAGGCTCGCTTGCAGGAGGTCACAGGACAAACCCAGGTGTTTATGGGTTGATTGACTAAGATGACTGGCAGATGCACCACCTGTGCTCCCGACTGTGCAAACATGCTGTTTTAGCCACCTGGTACTCTGCTCGTTGTTGTGAGCATCACTCCTCTGCCCTTTGTTGTTTTTGGAGGGGGCGACTGCCTCAAACTGCCCATTAGGATCCTTTACGTGCCTCCTCTACTTGTGACTATTCAGTCTTTTGTCAATCCATTCTTGGACGAGGGCCTCTCCATGCCATCTCGGTCACGGGAGTCATTTGACCATACCTCAAATACTTCGGTCGGTGCGGCGTTGTGGAGGAGGGCAACACCTCGTCACCCATTCAGACGGCGTTCCCCACTGATGTTAGCCGTGGCCAGGAATCCAACTCGGGTCACCATGCTAATGGAGCAGTGCACCAAGAACTACCATACCACCATACTGCACAGGAAGGTTTATTCTAAAGCCTTGTCGGTACGTACCTGGCCTGGCACGTGTGAGAAGAAGGAAAATAGCTTGCAGTGGAAAATCATTAAGATGCCCGACACCCGTACAATATCGGCACAACCAATCGGTGAGCTCAGTAAATCTTTTTTATAAACATATATTGCCAATTACCATTTTTGGCTTGCCTCAGTGCACTGCAGTCTCTAATAACGTTTCTAAATTGTCTTAATCGCCATCTTCATTCAAGCTCGTTAATTTCATCTTGTCATTGCCAGTCGCGCGCTTGGAGC